AGAGAGAGAGAGAGAGAGAGAGAGAGAGAGAGAGAGAGAGACAGTGAATGAGTAGTTGCACTTTGTTCACAACATCAAAGCTCAACTTGACCTGTGTGTGTATATGTGTGCTTGTATTGCTGTCCTTGTGAGGTCCATTTAAAACACCACCGTAGTGAGGACATTGATGGATTGTGGGGAATGGCCCTCACGACTTCAAAGGGATGTTTGACTTGAAGGTTCAGACCGAGCGTTAAAATCTACAGTGCTGAAAAAGGGCCAAAATCTGCAGTTCCTCAAATGTCCACTAGAGGCTCCTGAAGCGAGTCCGTCCCCATCGACCTCAATGTTAAAATGAACGTTACAGCAGAAATAAACACGTTTAAAGTCTGGTGTTAAAACGGTTTTGGTCTCTAGCTAATATCCTCTTTCATGACGACTGTTTATATGACTCACCTAAGTAAGCCACTGAAAGAAGTCGTTTCTCCTGTCAATCACTGTGTAGCCCCGCCCTAAAGCATCCCCTTTATGGTCTGTTTGACTCTAAATGGACCATAATGTACTAAATGAACATCATGCTGTGTTGAAGAAGACTTGAAACTAGAGATTGAGACCATAAACTCATGTTTACAATGTTTACTGAGGTAATAAATCAAGAGAGAATTTCTAACAACTCTCCAACTCTGAATCTCTTGTTCAAACATTCCTTCTTGGTTTTTTTCTCACACTCCTCCTTCTCTGTTTGTTCTTCCTTTTTTTCCATCCATCATTCTCTCCATTATTTAACAAACAAGATGTATTGTTTCATCACATTAATCATTAAACCAGCAGATACACACACACACACACACACAAAAACACACACACACACACACGCACAAAAACATACACACACCCACACACACACTAAAGTGTAGTACAGGAGTTGAAAATAGAGTTCATGATTCACTTGTGATCGTTACTATAAAACATCTAAAGCAACTTACAACCAGCCTGAAGATCAGAGAAACCAAACAGTTGGTGCAGTTAAATATACGTATATATACATATTTATGCATATTTATGAGGACAATACAGTTGTTACCTCAGCTTGTTTCTGTCCGTTGTCATAGTAACGCTTTGTTGCTTCTTCGTCCATCATCTGAAACAAACACATGTGTTCTCTATACTTGTGAGGACCTTCGATAACAAACTGATTCCTAAAACTAAGTATTGAGGCCTTTAAAGGCAAAATACTCTCCCACGAATATCATATGTCCAGGGCTTTTATTGTGAAAGGTAAGAGTGGTTTATGTCCAGGGCTTTTATTGTGAAAGGTAAGAGTGGTTGTCGTCAAAGTTAAAGGTTTTTGTATTGAAGACAAATGTCCTCACAAACCACCGAGTCCTCACATTACAGTGTAAAGTCAGACTCAACATTGTTCATCTGTAACTTTATCTTAATGTTTCAGGAGGAAATGAGAATGTAACTTAACTATCGTTATAATCTGATCTCAGTCAGGAAACATCAGTCCAGATGTTTCTACGTAGATTTTAAGAGACGAGTTACTTTAAAGGAAATTCCTGTTTCCTCCATCAAACCCGTCAGATTAAGTGATAACAATGAGTTTATTGAACTGTTCCTCGATGTTTCTTTTATTGATAACATAATAAATGACATGATGTTTCAGGGCTGCACTGAACATATTCAGTTTACCGTCCCGGAGGAACGAGGACGTGTTCACAGTTAAGAAGCTGGAATCAGAGACTCAACAATCAATCATCAGAATAGTTGAAGTCTAATTAAGTAATCGTTGCAGATCTGTTATGTTATGAACATCGTCTCCAGATCACACGTTTGAAAACTCAACGTCATCAGATAACTGATTTTATCTGTGGTTTCTCCACAACTCCTGTTCTTACAAACCAAATTATTATTAAATCGTGATCTGTGTCCAGAAAATCAACATAAATGGAGAACAACGTTCTTAATAATACGTAAAGAGGAATATTCTCCTGGATTTAAATAGTTTTTTTAGGGAATGTTTTTAAATATAAAATGATATCTTAATTATAAAATAAATGTTTAAAGAGAACAAAATGTCACATTTCTCTCACAGAACATTAACATGAATGAATCAAATGTTGATGTAATCTTCAGTGAATGACCATTGATGAATTATTAGTATATTAATATATAAATACATATATATTTATATATAAATATTATTCACATTCTTACCTTGTGGCTGATGAAGAGCTGTGTGACTGGAACAAAAGAGGAAAAGACAACCGACTCATCGACCAGCGTCCACAGACAGAGAGAGAGAGAGTCTGCCGAGTGTTAATAACAGATGCTTTTTAAACTGCACACACACACACACACACACACACACACACTAAAGCCTGGCATTATGGGAACACAGGCTGCCGTGTTAATACCAGCCCTCTCGGTCGCCTGCAGTCGTGAACACGTCTCATTATTCAGATAATAGCAGGTGTGTGTCGCGTGTGCGCACATGTGACAGCATTGTTCCACGCACACACGGTGAAACACCTGATTAACACACCTCACAGTGACTGACGGATAACAATGAGGCTTTTGTTTCATAAAGTCGAGTCGCTGCAGATTATTGAGGGAGAAGATCGTTTTATACGCTGTGACGTTAACGTTACTTTGTGGAGAGCGTTCCACCTTTAAAATGAGAGATTTCTGAATGTAGTCGGTGAAGAGAGCTCACTCTGTTCCTTCATCATCACATATACTAATAACTCACTCCAGCACCACGTGGATTCATCCGCCGCTGGAAATAGTCCCAACAAATGTTCTACTTCCTGTCTGTTTGATAAAAGTTATTTTTTAAACTGTTTGTTTTTTACATTTACGTCTTGAGAAGGAACCGATGAGTGTTCCTCTCTCATCAGTAATATCCTCCTCGTCCGTTCTCCTCTCGTCACCCGACAGACTGTGGCCTTCTGGGAAATGGTGTTTCATGAAAGGACGTTCAAACTCACCACCGCTAAACACACGGACGGAACCAACAGATGTACGGTTGAGTTTGTTAAAGGGCTGATAGAAGAGAATGATCAGTTAGTTGTCATGTATATAAAGTATATTAGTAATATAACAGAAGACATCGTGACAGTTTGATTCCACGTCTAATAAAAACATTTTCAGACTGTTTAGCTCTAAATATCTTCATCATGCGTCTTTATTTCTGGACGAGAGGAAGTGGAAACAGACGAAAGTACAGGGACGGACGTGAGTCTCACACACACACACACACACACACACACACACACACACACACACACAC